CTTGCGGGGCTCAGCGTGAGCGGCTGTGGCGGGGCTGGATCAGCAGAATGGCGCTCACACCGAGCGTCTCAGGACTCCGGATTCGAGTCAGCTTAGTAACGAGTCAGTTTGGGACGATTTTAGAGCAGTTAAGGGGTGTCTGCACAAGTTGCGAGTTTTTAAGCAGCTTTAGAGGAGCAGTCGCTATTTAAATCCTTGTAAGTAATGGTAGAGTCCTTTAAGAGCATTGCTGAAAAATCTTTTTTTAATATTACCATGACCAGGTAAGTCAGCCCTTCTTTCCCCGCCCCTGAGGTCTGCGTGACACAAGCGTTAGTAATGTTGATAATACTTTGAAGCGAATGACGGAGCGAAGTATGGAAGCAGCAAAGGAGGGGTGCGGAGATGGGAACGCAGCTGACATAATTGAAGAGCCATGAAAGCTGAGTTTACTGTAGAGTTGACATTGCTTCTATAAAAATCTTAGGTGGCTATGAAAAAAGCTTACGCAAATGTTGCTTTGTGAATGAATATGGCTGATATTTCAGTGGAAGGTTCCCCGTGCTCATCCATTTGGAGACCAGTATTTCGAACTTCCAGTCTCTGACTTGGAAAGGAAACAGGTGTAGGGTGGTGGCAGGAAGAAATAAAATCACCAGGTTTAAGAGGAGCAGTTTTTCCTCTCACATTCTTCCTGATCATTTCTAGAGAAAGGTACCGTAAGAAAAACTCCTTGAAGTTTGGTATTTAGAATAGAAAAGCTTCAGGTGATACTTGCCTTTTTTTTTTTTTTTACAGTTATTTGTAGGGAAGTGCAGCCTCTACATTTTATATTCATCTGGTTTGTAGTCTTAATCCTATATGACACAGAGGTTTCCATTGCAAATATCATACTAAGACTTAAAGCAAAAATATGCAGGAACAGATGACATTAAAGAAGAAAAGTCCTGTTTTTTCTGCAGATGCCTCAGACATAAGAGGAGCAGAATGCAGATGTGATATATAACAAATTAAGTGGAAGTACACACTTTCTGAATTGTTAGGAAAAATACTTTGAGAACATTTTACAGGATATTGTCACCTTGTCTCACAGATGTGACTGCTTTGTATGTGGTGTTACTGCCTCTTGAAATTCCTGTTCTAAATTAGGAAATTAAGTCACTACAGAAAATAATTTCCATTAACATTTTAATGTAAAAAATACTTCAAGAGCTGTGGGATACTTTTTTTTTTAATACAAAAAAATACTGTGGTAGGATCTGTGAATTTCTTCAGGAGTGTGGGGTGTCAGATAATGTAGTTCTTGTCTTTACTAAGTGAACAAAAATTACTGACTGAAGAGTTAAAGGGGTTTTTTTAATTTCAGTGTTACAAGATGTTTGAGGTTAGTTGTGTAGCTGCTGAGTTGATTTAGTTGTGAAGCGTGCTCAGTGTGTGCTGTATTCGTTTTTGTGTATGAACAGGTTGGAAAAGGGCTGGCTATGTTCCGTAGAGCAAAAACGTAAAGCATCTCTTCAGTAAAGTGCGGGCTGCTCTTGCGTGGATGCAGCTTTTTCTTGTGGCTTTGTAAAAACACAACCATGGGATGATAGTTGCTATAACTTTTACAGAGAAAGGTCATAGTTACTGAATTTTGCAGCTGGTGAGGTAGCGTGTATACCAGGAAGCTTGTTTGGGATTTTTAAGTTTTATGTTAATTTATTTGTACAGACAGGAGTGTTTTAGATTTTGTTCTGCTAACACAGCAATGTAAGTAGACATTTCACTGTCCCTTCCGTAGTGACCAGGATACCAACTAAATCGAGTGTGGCTTTAGTTTCAGTAAGAGTAATTGAAGTGCACGTTCTCATTACTTGTCAGATTTGATGAAAAGCAGGGAAGTTGGCAGAAACTTGATCCTGCCTAGAATACTTCTCGAATGCCAGGATGTTGTTTAACTTGTATTCTGTAAGTTAATACGTTCCTGTGAAAACGTGCCAAACTTTAATGAGTTACTGTATGGTCAGAAGATGAACTTATGTCTTTGGGAGTGGATTTAGGTAGAGCTCAATAGTGGCAAAGCATCCACTGCCCCATATGTGTATGTGCAAACGCTGTGCAGACCTAAAAATTCTAGGTTAGATGAGGCCATTAGCATGACAGTAAGTGGGAATGGAAGCATATTGGTTAAATTAAATCGTCCATATTGGCGATCAGGTTGTATCAATGCAATTTCTTGATTAAAGTGTGCTTAACTATTTCAGTTCCTGCCTTCTCTAGCTGGCCTTCAAAAAGTCAGAAGAAGAATTTTAACACTTTATGCATCTTAGACCTTTCTGTAATTAAACAGAGAAAGACTTTGCAAAGCGTTGGTGTATGCAGTTCTATAAAATGACTGATCTGGAATAGTTTGCATTTCCAACATCTGGCTTAACAAAAATGCTTTGAATTAGTGCATCCAAACATAACTGAGGTTTTCTGCAATAAATGATGCTCAGAAACTATTTTGCAGTGTATGACCTTGTGCTTCAGAGACTGTTGTACACTAGAGAGAGCTTCAGTAGCTCCTGGTGAACTAGGATTTGCAGTCATTCTAGCAAAAATGCCAATGTCTCTTCTCTCTTCCCGCCCCCCCCCCACCTTGAATCTTGTGATCGCTTCCAGTTCAGTGTTTTCATGGTTTTATTCTCCACTCTGGAAGGAGCATCATGGCTTCATGGTGTGATGTTGGTAGCTCTTAATAAGCAGAGAGGGGTGTGTATATAGTGTTGACTAAATGCATGTGCCTGGTTTTAGGAGTCCCATTGTTTCAATAAAGGAAGAAATGA